CTACAGGTGTGAGCCGCCACACCTAGACAATAAGGACTAGTAACAGTAGTCTCCAAAATGGATGAGGGTAGGTAAGATGGGGTGTAGGAAGAAAATATTAAAACATTGATTGATTGATTGATAGAGTCTCGCTCTGCCTCTGACTTTTGAGTAGCTGGGATTACAGGTGCATGCCACCATGCCCGGCTAATGTTCTGTATTTAGTAAAGACAGGGTTTTGGCCATGTTGCCCAGGCTGGTCTCGTACTCCTGACTTCAGGTAATCCGCCCACCTTGGACTCCCAAAGTGCTGCGATAACAGGCGTGAGCCACCACACTCAGCCAGAACTTTTAAATATTTGTATTTCATCCCTGAAGTTTTCTATTTTTATAATATACTTAGTATATTATGTATAAATAAGTATACACATTTTGGAGATGCATGCTCAGATATGTTTTATGGCTATAAAATACTATCAAAATGTTTTTGTTCAATAAATATTAATTTTCTTCTTCTTTCCACTTTCCCCTTTGATCTTTGGCAGAGAAGCAAAGACTTAAGTTAAAACCTTGATTTGTGGCAATGTGAATAAGTTATAGCTAATTCCAGGAACTTAGCCTGCATCCTAACTTGATTCATTTTTTCGATTAGACTCTTATATTGCTGTATATATTTTCATTACACAGGTTTATTAAACATGGATACAAACGAAAAACAGACTTGTTGTTATATTTGAAATTATAAGTTGCTCATGCATTAAGATCTTGACACACAGGAAGTTTGAATGAATGAGTAAAAAAGGTTCCAAGTTATTAAAATATTCTGGTACCTGATTTATTCATTTGCCATACCAGTAATTCTAAGGTGGGTGAAGCTCCTTTACTTCCTGAAGAAACAAGGTAGTTTCTTAAACTAAGCATTAAAACAAAGCTGGAATTATTTGCTTCCAGCAATGGTAGTAGTCATGTTAAGTTGCCCCTCTTTGGCTAGATTGTCCGATTTTTTTTTAGGCCTGTTTTGTCTATTTTTGTCACATTAGAAAGGTTTAATTGCTAAAACAACAACAACAACAAAAAACTGTGTGGTTGTAGAAAAAAATGAATTGTTACGTTGTTCTTTGAGATCAGTAAGACTTCTCTGTATTTACTTTTTCAGACATTATTTTGAACTCAGTCTCAGTCGCAGAGATTTCTTCAACATTAATCTTCTAATGTTTCCTTTCCAGCAAGGAAGGAGACAATATATTCTTGGAATATTGAAGTACTTTTGAAGTAACTCCTATGTATTCTCCCCTCTTCGATTTGTTTAGGTATTTAGGGCTTGCTTTAAAACATATTTACGTAGAAATATCAGTAATACAATAGTAACGTGATACTGTGTATTTCTTAAGCATATGCTAGGAAGGGCATTAGTTAGGTGTCCAAAAAACAGCCAACAAAACAAATCAGCTCTCAAAATTGTGAAGTAGGGAATATTTTAGAATTATTTTTGAAACCTCTTTCAGAACTGTTTTTAGACCCCATGGTAATTTGTTACCTAAGTTCGTACTAGTTTAGGCACTACACATACAGTTGGCATGTTTCCTTTTGAAAGGTAATAATCTATTTATAATAAAAGCCTGGATATTTCAATCTTGGAATTCCTCTTTAAAACTTGAATCAGTTTTACTATTGCTTTTTAAAATGTTACCAATTTATATTTGCTTTTTTAAAATGTTACCAATTTATATTTGCTTTTTATATCAATTCTGTACTTCTTGTTTTGTTTTAGGTATTTAAACCATGTCAGAGCTGCCTCTCCACAGGACCTTGCTGGGGGCTATACTTCTTCTCTTGCTTGTCACAGAGCACTACAGGATGCATTCAGTGGGCTTTTCTGGCAACCCAGTTAACCATTTATAAGATTTAGACCTTGGAGCTGAACCAGGGAACTAGCGAAAGTAAAGCAGACTTGTAAAGTTATAGCTATATGCAGCTGCACAACACAGTTCTACCACTAGCAGCTGTGTTAAAGTATATAAAGAGATTTCAGACTAAGATGAGTAATATAAGGAATATGTATTTGTGAAAAAGATTTTTTACTTATATTTTTCAGAGGATTTGACACAATAAGCCTCATCTGATGGAAGAGAGGAATAAATAATTCACCTATATGTGTTTGAGGTTGACAGACTTATAAAATCTTTTTAAAAAATAAAGCTAGAATTTATATTAAGTTCTGTGGTTTTTCTCTTATTACAGTGTTTTACTTGAACACATTTTAAATACCATTTTGATTACAACATTTACTGTTAATATCCGTCTATTATTTCTTCTCATAAAATGTTCCCCTTTTTCCTAATATCTTGTTACTACTAGTCCAGACAAGTGGATATATTTCCTTTGACCAAGTTATGGCAAGAAAAACCTGACCCATGATAATGTCATTCCCTCAATGCTAAGGACTCAATGCCAGTTTTAAGCGGTGGAAAGTGAGGCAAACTTTGATCAAGGTGTTATAGTTCCCAGCTGTGAGCCACACTCAGGCTAAAACAGAGCCCAGCATTAACCTACTTTAATGACACATTCGAAGAAGTAAGTTAATAAAATTTAATACTTAAATGATACCTTTAACCTCCAATGTAAGCTCGCTTTATGATGAATCCTTGGAGACTGGAGAAGGTACATTTTTAGTAGAATTTCCCTATGTATAAATTGTATACTGATACAGTTTTTTGTTGAAACTTCAAAGGCTTTTATTACCAGGGTTTTGCTTAAAAAGTTTAGATTTGAAAAGGATGATTATTTGCAGCATCTTAACCTTGTATGAGTTTGTTACGTAGACCATTGGATATGGGATATAGTTTCTTAAGGAAATTAAGGGATTTTCTATCAAATCTCTATTACAACAGATGTTAGTTTTATAGATAGAAACTTATGTGAAACAGAAATTGTGGTTTCATTAGCATGGACTATCCATATGTAACAACTCCCTCTTATTTTACTAAGCAGGTATTAATTAATTTTAGGAATACATCTTCATCTTTATTGTACTTCTACTATCTTTGATAAATGAGAAAACCAAGGCATCAAATAATAGACTAGACAAAGATCATATACACAAGTTAGTAAAAAGCCAGAATTAGAATACAGGGTTTTTTCTTGTTTTGTTTTTTTAAACTGAAGTCCAGTTCCATCTACACTCTACCAGACTGCATATCCTATTCCTTTATCTGTTAGGTATTCCCCAACTGAGGATTAGTGTTTTTAAGTACAATCTGCAAATCTGTTCAAAGAATAGTTAGAACATTGAATGTACAGTTAAAGCTTTGCAGCAGCCAACTGCAAAAGTAAGGAATCCAATCTTTTGAAAAGAAACACTACTGCTTCTCATACCTTTTATAAATGTATTTAAAAATAATGAATTAATTAATAAAACATATCAAGGTTTTAAGACTTGTTTTGAGCCTACCTTATTGTGGAAATTGCATGCACCTGGTTTGGCAAATAAATTCCAAAACCTTTATACATTTGTAAATATTTTGCACTTGCTATTGCTGTACTTTTTTCAATAGGCCAAATTTAGAAGTGAACTGACCTTATTTGATCAAAGGGAATGGTGAAAAATAACCTAGTGACAATTCACTGAGGTTTAGTGAATTCACTGAATTTACTAAGCAACAGAAATATTCTAAATTAAGGTGCTTATCCCCTACCCTCTGAGTGATTTACTCTCAAGAGACAAAGGCTGTACATGTCTTTCATCTACATGAATTAAGTCTTCAAGTATTTTATGAGTACAGAAGTAACAGTTAACAACTACTATATTACCTGTGTCCCAGGCACTGTGCTTCATGCTTTCTTTATTACCTAATCCTCAGAACAGTTCTATTATTTTCCCCATTTTAACAGATGGGGAAGCTGAGACAGAGGTTAGGTGAGTTGCCAACAGTCATATAACTTAAAAATAGCAGAGCTAAGATTTGAACTGAGGCAGCCAGACTCCAGAATCCATGCTCTAGAGATGACTGTCAAACAACAGCTGTGCTAAAGCTAGTCCTGGGTAGTTGAACTTCATAAGACTTCCAGGAAGTTCTACAGATCAAGTATCTAGATCTTTTATGGGATATAAATGACATCAACTAAATGAACTTGTTGATGTCCTAAGAGAAGTTCTGACAAATTCATGCTGTAGAAAATGATTTTACTAACTATACTTCCTTTTAAGCAGATATTAATGGTACAGAATGCATTTACATCATAGTTAGTAGGCACGATTACTTAGTATTCCTTAATTTGATTCAATTAATATTTCACCTACTCTTCTCTTAGAAGCTATCTTTAGGCTGTCAACAGGTTGTCAGGTAATTATTTTAAAATCCAATTAAGGTGGCAGAAAACTTGTCAAAAAGTTAACAAAATTAAAAATTGTATCTAAGAAGCTTTCTAGCTTTCTAGCTGTCATTTTCTAGTAGATTCATCAGGAACTCATTTACTTGGTATCACATCTGAAAGTTTAGGGTGGACCTAGATTTAAATAAAGGATAATCACATATTCACTTATCCACTCTGAAGGAAAAGGGGGAAGTTAAAATGTTAATTGATACACTTAGGGATTCTGTTTCCTTTACAATTACATATTGCATATTTTGTCCAGAGTAACTAAAGGGAGACAAGACTCTTACCACTTTACATGTATGAATAAGAACATCATTTGTACACATACTTTATAACCTAGGATATCAATGTACTATACTTGGATTGAGTTTCAAAACAATTTGAATGTAGTTCCTTTAAGTAAGGAATGAGGGCTCCAGTTTATTACATCCCTATACTGCTTACCATTTATCGCCTTCATTTGTTACGTGACCTGCCAGACTTCTGAAGGCATTTGAATTTGTAATTAATTATCTAGATTAGGGTTCTTAAACATTTTCTGTAGGGCCAGATAGTAAATATTTTAGGCTTTGCAATGGTAACAAGCAAAATCAAGGAGATTACTTACAGAACGAGGTAAAGCAAATTGCCCTATTTTTTTTTTCCAAACTGTATCCAGCTTTATTAACGATACTTTCCATAAACAATCATGGTATTTCAGGCAGCACAGGGCAGACAATCATTAACAGTATATAACTTTCAAACTCCTTTCTTCAATGGACTACCAAAAAGCAGAAAGCCACTAGAAAACCCAATGAAATCTTCATCTGATGCTCTGAACAGGGACAGTTTAGAGTGAGGGTTGACATTTCACATTTAGAATGTTGTTTAACAACTTTTCACAAGCTGGACCTTTCAGGAAGTGAAAGAAAATGGCGGAAGTTATCTGAAGAGCCACAATCTAGAAATGGAACCACTTCTCTTTTGACAGGTGCCATCTCAGTGGCATCACTGGGAAAGTCCAGATTGCCTGACACTGGTAACCAATGATTGGGAGTCAGGTCCCAACAGATGTCTGGGCTTAAGGGAGTTAAGTCTGTGCTGAAAGATGGAAAGGGAGAAGAGGACATAAAAATGAATTTCTTTTTCCATACCACAAGGCTTTTGTGCCAAGGTGGCCATGTGTGTCAAAGGGAATCCCTCCTAGGAGCCAAGAGGAAGTCTCTCAAAACTAGAAGGGAAAGGTGTTTTCCCCACATCAATCCAGATTTGGAGGCATTCTATTAGTGACATATGCCCCTTCCCCCAAAAAACAACAATGAATTGTTCTGTGTGCTAACAACATAGCTTAACAACAACAACAAAAAAAAGGAAAGCAAAATTCTGCATTTTTACAAAACTGACAAAAAATAGTATTAAACTGTACAGTCACCAGTATGCAGTTATAAAAAATGCACACACTTCACTTGGCATCTCCAGCACCTTCAGTTTTCTGTGCCTGGTCTGTTTTGGTATCTCCATTTTTCTGCAGTTATTCCTCTCCTTGCCAGCATCAGCTTTTCCCTTTTTCCCTTTGGGTACCTTCTCTCCCTTCTTTGCAGGGGCCTTTTTAGGCTTGGGCTCTGGCTTTGGAGGAGCAGGTTTAGCAGACAACCTCGCAGATCTTCTCTGTGGTTTGTCCTTCACCTTGGCTTTATCTCCTTTAGCATCCCCTTCAGCCTTTCTCTTGGACATGGTGGCGGTGGCGATGGCAGTGGCGGGACGTAGGTGCTGGGTGCTGGATGCAGCGGCACGCAGGGTTTGGTTGGATGGGGGTCGTTCTTGCCTCTTCTTCACATTGCTCCTACACTTTTTTAATTGACAAAATTCAAAATATAGTCCAATTTTTTGTAATGCCTTTTTTGGTGAGAATAGCATTGCCTTTAATTAGGGTTCTAAGTAAATGTTCCCTGTGATCAAAATCAGTTGTAAATGATTGCCTGTTAAGGGTTATCATTAACCATCATTAACCATTAATACTAATGGTAATGAGATTTTGCATATTTTACCTTTAGAAATATCTTCTCATACAGATAGGTATTGCCAAATACTGCTATCAATCCAGGGGCACATGAAATTAATTGAGCATATTCATCAGTTTTGAAATTTGCCTTTTAGCGTGCCATTATTTTAATCACTTCTTACTGAAAATTAGATTGCATAACCTCAATTGCAGTTATATAGATTTTGAAAAGGAGAAATTTTCTTTGCACTTGCACCAAGGTCCCTAAAAATGCTGAACTCAGAAAATATATTTGCTACAATTTGTGAGAATGGAAATCTTGCTTCTTGTTTTATCTTCTGATAGCATGACAAATGTGTAAATATACTGTGCTTCAAATATTGTCAAAATGACTGTACCATAGTATATTTCATATTAAAGTTGTTTTGCCTTGTGTTTTAGGCCATTCTTGCATTGCTGTAAAGAAATACCTGATACTGGGTAATTTTTAAGAGTTGTAATTGGTTCTGCAGGCTATAGGAAGCACAGCACTGGCATCTGCTTCTGGGGAGGCCCCAGGAAGCTTTTACTCATGGTAGAAGGCAAAACAGGGGCAGGCACTTCACATGGCAAAAGCAGGAGCAAGAGTGTGGGGGCACGGGCCACATACTTTTAAACAACCGGCTCATGAGAACTCATTATCATGAGGACACCACCAAGGGGATGGTGCTAAACCATTCATGAGGGCCACAGATAGGGACTCACACCTGTAACCCTAATGCTGTGGGAAGCCAATATGGGAAGATCTCAAGCTTAGGAGTTCAAGGCTACATTGAGCTGTGACTGTCTTTGCACTCCAGCCTGGGCAACAGAGCAAGACCTTGTCTCTAAGTAAAAATAAAAATAGATTCAAAAAACCATCTAGAATCATTTTCTAAGTGACTAAGTTGCTTTCAATGTCCTTAACTCTTTGAGCAACTGTTCTTGCCAAAGGCCAGTAGTCTTTATCAAGTTTATTTTCTCTGGACACATTACTTCAGCTGCTGCATCCAAACACAACTAATTTACCATGAATAAATGGCTTTCCTTGCTTGGCTAACAAATGATTCACTTGGAGACTTACTTTGGTTGCAGCCTCATTTTCATGTTGTGAAGAAAGTCTGCTTTGATATTTCCATTTTAAATTTTCTAATTTTTCTGACAGTTGCTTGCCTATGAGTTGGGAATACTGTGATGAGTGGTTTGTCTGGTAATGTCAACAGTTATTTTATTCTTTTAGCATAGCTATAGATGCTTTGTCATCTAATTCAACATCAAAATAATTTACACCCTACTATATTTTAAAAATACAACAAAATCCACTTGGAACATGGTATGTTCCAATCAAACTTTATATGAACTCTGAAACTCTTAATATCATACAATTTTTTTTTTTTTTTTTAGATGGAGTCTCACTCTGTCACCCAGAGTTGAGTACAATGGCATGGTTTCAGCTCAATGCAAACTCTGCCTCCCAGGTTCAAGTGATTCTCCTGCCTGAGCCTCCCGGGTAGCTGGGACTTATAGGTGCATGCCACCACACCTGGCTAAGTTTTTGTATTTTTAGTAGAGACAGGGTTTCACTATGTTGGCCGGGCTGGTCTCAAACTCCTAACCTTGTGATCCACCCACCTCAGCCTCCCAAAGTGCTGGGATTACAGGCATGAGCCACTGCGAACGGCACAATTCAATTTTTTAAATTGATACATAGTAGATATCATACAATTTTCACATATCACAAAATGTTCTTTTATTTTTCAACCAATGGAAAATATAAGAACATTATTAGGTCACAGGCCATATGAACACGGGCGGTGGATAAGATTTGGCCTGCAGGATGTAGTTTGCCTGCCCTGTTCTAAATAACTTCATTTTTTATTACTTTTATGGTGATAATTGGTAGTAAAGGAGCAGTAATATAAAGGACAACCAGAAAGTGGTGTTAGTGCCTTCCTAGTCAGTATTCAATTACCCTGCTTTCGTAAATGATTTTCCCTGAAAGAAAATATTTAATCATATTTATCTAATAAAAATTATATATAATTTAGATTATAAAATAATTACATGTTATAATTTAGATAACAGGGAATGTGTCTGGTAGACTTATTTTAGTTAAAGTTTAATTCGTAATCCTCAATTTATAAAATAAGGCAAAGTACAAGGGTTCAATAGTAAAAACTGAACACTAAAATTTTATTTAATAATACAAATTATATTTTGCTACATGTAAGTCTGGTAGGGAGATGGAGAAAACATTTCCAATTAAGTGTTTGAAGCAAGTTGTGTTTTTTCATCTGAAAAGGCTTCAGCTGTCCTCTGCCTTTTAAGAGGCGGATCTTCGCAATTCTCTGTAACAAATCCAGAAAACCTATTTTAGGTAAGATATTAACTGTTGAAGATGCTCTTAAAAAACAAACAATATAGGCATTTTTAAGATGTTTAAGCTAGTCAACTTAGGACATGAAATAACATTCTCGCAGATTTACTATTTTAATGAAAGAGCTTTCTATTAGACTGAACTAATACTGTACTAAAATTTGTTTAACAAGGAGGAACTAGTCACAATTGAATGGCAAGGTTTACATTTAATTTTCCAGAAACTGCTCACCTGGATTTCTGGTCTGGTTCTTGTAGAGTACAGCAGCAGGAATCTGAAAGGTGATGCACAGCATTTCCTTGTTTGGGGCCACATTTCTTACCAGGTGAACTGAACTGCATGCCTCCAGGGAAATGCCTAACACAGCTCCAGCTCTTTGACGAACATCCTCAGTAGGGTTAGCATCTTTAGAAAAGCTGTAACAGTGCACTATGGGAAGGATTTCACTGCTGCATGGCTGCTCATCTAAAAGTGATTTGAAAGCACTAAGAAACTCTATAGCTTTTGCTGGCAAGTTCATGACAATGTGCACAGAGGGTTTTCTTTCTTTTGACAGACTCAGCAGCTGCATTAACTCTTCTTTGATGGGTCCTTGGAGGAAGTCTTTCCCATCCAAGTTGAAGACTTTCACCTTTTGGTCCACTTTATTTAATTTACAATTGTGCAACAGCCACTTATGGGATTCAGGATTGAGATCATTGGCAAATACAGTGCAGTTTTTCTTTGCTACTGGAATGGCAAAGGGCCCAACCCCAGCAAAAACATCAAACAGGACATCCCCAGGCTTGAGAAGTTCTGTGATACGGCTGTGTTCTGTAGAGAGACGAGGATTCCAATAGACTTTCGAAAAATCAAACTCATAGGTGTAGTTGTTTTCTCGAACCTGAAGAAAGGTGTTATGCTTTTGGTTAATCTCCTTGGTCCTAAATCCTAACCATTGATATTGGATAGGTGTGTATACACACAGACAAACACATACACATTTAAATTTACTACTATGAGAGCCAACAACAGTGCATTTAAAGGCATTTTTAAAGGTGTTTATGCTATTTCTAGAGCCATTTGATACACTGCATTAGACTTATTGGTGAGAAAAAAATAATCTCTTCAAAGCCAAATGTCTCTCCATCTCAATCCTAAAGGGCCATGGCTATAAATTAGTTACCAAATGATATGAGCAATTTTTCAGACCGGCCAACTAACTGGCTTAATTATACTCACTTATGTCACCAGATAGACAAGACCTACAGTTTTGAAACAACACACCACCACCCATATCTTCATGGTGGGTAGCCAAGTTGCAGATAGTACTTTTATGCAGCAAACAAGCAACCCTCCTTATTTAGTTTTGTGTTTGTAAAAGGGAGCCAGGCTAGATGTGTCACTGAATTTTGAGGTATTTTACTATGTTTTTAGATACCTACAAAAACTTTGCAAATTTTGTCTCTAAATTAGAGCCAGTGTATAGAATGAATCATTCCCAGATTCTCTTTCCTTTCCCAAATTTGAGTTTTCATGGGTAAACCAAATATATACAGTGAAGCTAAGTCTTGAACAAAAGACTTTGTAACATTTCTTTTGGGTCTACTGTAGTAGACACCTTAAAAAACAGAAAATAAAACTGAAGTTACAGTCATGCAGTATGACCTCAGCCATCATCTTAAACTCCTTAATTTATGGATAAAGAATCAAAGGCCAGAAAATTCCTAAGTTCTATAAATCTGATAGATACATCTTCCATCATCTGCTTTCCAGGACCTTAATTCCCAATTTGTATGTGTTTTTTTTTTTTCCTCCTCCCAACCATAACAGATGCTTCTGGCAAATTACTAAGGTTACAGAGGTAGAAATGTTTCTGCAAATTTCTGCCAACCAGAAGTCTGAGTATAACCTAGAAGGTTTAAATATATTTCGAGAACTGTTTTATACATACTGCTCTATAACTTGCTTTTTGTCACATATTGCTGTCAATTGTCCATTGTCAGCCTATCAATAGACAACTTATTTTAACAAATATGGAGCTCAAAAAACTTTAATGATGGAAATATTCCATTGTATCACTATATAAGAATTTAACCAATTCTTCTGAAAAGGCTTTATCAATGTTATTCCATCAACAGCATTCATAAGGGCTCACATTCTCACAGACTCGTGTTGTAAGTATTTTAAATCTTTGTCATCTACTCTGATTCTAAACATAATCCTGATATACACCTTACTTGGAGATAATAAAACATACCTTTGTCATCATGTTCTGTTCTCCAGATAGCACTTCCATTTGGAAATTTCGGTACGTATTGTCAATACTGTTTATTTTATTTACTGCTGAGGTGATTCCTGGATTTTTGTCAATCATAACCTCGCCTAAAAGAAAAAATGAATCCATAAATACTGCCTATTGGTTGCAAAATAAAAGCTAAAATTGTTAATATGAAACAGAAATGAGTTGTATTTCTTTTGGCTGATAAAAACTGCACCTACAATGTAATGTGGCATGCAATTTAAAAAATTCAACAGATGACTAAATTTAATATTTGACAGTCGCCAACATACACACACACAATGTTGGGTACATTTTTAAAGAAAACATTTTGAGTTTGGGTCTATCTAATATTTTTCCATGTTTTACTAAATCTTTTCAAACGAACCAATAAACAAGGAACCAAAAAGGTAGATCACAGGGAACTGGGGAAGAATGGAAAGAGATGTAAGGACCCTGGCAACAAATGGCCTCAGAAAACAGTAAAACATCTGCCAGTTCCACTGGCCTCAGGCCAAATGTCTGTTTTACTGATGGTCTGGAACAAATGCCCCCACTTTAGAAATATATGACAGCAAAACAATGTTTCCAAAAAAAGGAACATAGATCCTTCAGAATCCTATCTAAATTAAATGTTCATTTATTTCAGAGCAGAAAAGCTACAGAGCTGGCATACTGATGGCGTTCTGATGAATATATTTTTTTAGTTAGCACTTTAAAAAGTTATAAAAATCCATATGCTATCTTATTGCATAAGATAACTTGATTTGTAAGTCAGCACACAATACCCAATTACACAATATCCTGAATTACAACCAGCATTTGTCCAATTTCTGATTATCAGATGCTTATTTTTGAATATATCAATAAACGAATTTAATCATTGTTCTTTCCCTTTCTGCTTCACGTATTTGAATTCAGCTTTTTAGGTACAGAATTTAGTTTGAAATGAGGAATGAAATTTATAAATTAAAAAAAAAACTATTCTGAAGGTCGATAGTAAAAGCTTTAAAATTACTACTGTATGAAAATGTTTCACTTTTAATGTATGAATGCCTCTATGAAATAAAGTTTATAAAATAGGAATGCCAGAGGGATGTTTGAATTAAGGTAGGCAGTGACTCATAGGAAAGCCTAGACTTGACATTTGTACCCAGTCACAATTACAAGGATCTGCTTAAGGATTTATGTTACCAGTATCCATTATCACCCCCTTCATCAATAAAAACAGAAGAAATGCATAATAGGACAGTATGGTGTCTGACATACAGAAGAGGCTCAAATAGTTGAATCAATGTAAACATCTTGCACTTTTGGCTATAAAGTACCCAAATTTATGCAACCTAGTATTTAACAGCCCTGAAGGTCTAAGAAGTATTGTGTACCAAAAAGAACTTTGCTCAATGTAGCTGCCAAAGCATGTGATTCAAGTTTAATCTACACTGATGTATACACAAAAGCCTGGACCAGTATTTGGAATTTGCTATGACTCTAAAGACGATATTCCAAAATGACCCTGAAAAGAGGGTATGTAGCTCAAGATCTAGCTTACAGTTAACATGATAAAATGTTCTATCTCTGTAACCTGGCATTTAAAAAAAAATTTTTTTTTTTTTGAGACAGTCTCACTGTCTTCAGGCTGGAGCACAGTGGCACGATCTTGGCTCATTGCAACCTCCGACTCCCTAAGGGATTTTCCTGCCTCAGCCTCCGAAATAGCTGGGACTGCAGGCACATGCCACCACACCCAGCTAATTTTTTGTATTTTTAGTAGAGACGGGGTTTCACCATGTTGGTCAAGATGGTCTCGATCTCCTGACCTCGTGATTCGTCCGCCTTGGCCTCCCAAAGGGCTGGGATTATAGGTGTGAGCCACCATGCCAGGCCCAAAAAAATAATTCTTAAAGCTAAAATTAAAAATTTGCAAATTCTCTTCAAATTCATGAATATTACTATGACACACATACCAATTAAATGTTTGAAAGGCAGCTGATGATCTCGAAGGTTCAGGTGTGCAATATGTCCAACTCTGCTAAACCCTGAAGTTACATCTTGACCTTCAGGAAGCACAGCTCTCAAGATCTCTTCTGACTTAAAGTTTTCGTATGTTAGTTGCAAATTATATTCAGAGATCTGTGGATTGACATTTAACTGCTCTAAAACACTGAGTTCTGCTTTCTCAAAGGAATCATGAGTAAACATTTTATAGGGATCCAACATGATTAGTCTACTTTCTTTATCTTCTGGATCTTCAATTACACGTTTTATACCTGGGCGCTGCAATGCTGCTCTTTTAAGGGATGGCATCAATTTACTGACTACTTCTTTCCTCACTTTAAGCACTGGAATGCTGACTGTCTTTTTAAAAGCTGTTCTATCAAGTTTTGTCATGCCTCGGACATCAGAGGGTGGTGAAAACAATTCAGAGTCTCTCTCATGTGTTTCTATTTCTGGCATGGTTGAGAATATTTTTCTTTGACCCAATAAGAGAATACCAGGTGCTTTTGAAAGCGTCTGTGTCAGGGATGTCCAAGCTAATGGAATTAATGATTTTGATTCAGTTATGCTATGGCTTTCCAGTTTCAGAAGTCTTCTTGAGAATCCAAATGGCCTCCATAAGATCCTTAAAAAAAAAAGAAAAAAAAAAATTCACACACAACAGCTTTTGAGAATAAAAATCTAAATTCTACTATCTCAAATAACCTGCTAAATGCTGACAAATAAAACGTTTAGTGGTGTGTGTGAAGTATACCATCTTTTCCAGAAAAAGGTGACTTTTTCAGGAAGTCATATTAGTGGTAGATAATAGTGGTATATGTTAAATTTACACCTTCAACTCACCTGCTGCTTAGCGATCCATCAGCCATACTCAATGATCCTCTCCACCCACAATTTTCTAGATAATACATTTGGGATTGGAAGGCTGAAGTATGAGTTAAGCGGTCATCTCTAAATGAAATAGTCATTATATATGACCATTACTAGTGGCGATATTTATTAGGATAGTCTCGTGGGTGGGTGCTTATTGTGTCAGATGCCTAAATGCTTTATGCACATTATCAGTTTTGGGAGGTGTGCAGTATTGCACCCTCATTTTGTAAATGAGTAAACTAAAGCTCAGAAGTAAGGTAACCCACCCAAAGTCTCCCAGCTGGTAAGTGGCTAAGCATGGATTAAAACCTAGTTTTGACTGACTTCGGTGCTTGTGTTCTTAATATATTGCTCTGTTGTTTGTTTTCGATGCTTTACTGCCACATGTCCTGCCTTTAACTAGAGGTTTCTGAATTCTGCGGACGAGAGTTTTGCTGGGTGTTAGATGCACAGAATCAGTTATTCACTGTCTTTTAAAATACCAACGAATTTACTTTTAAAGGAAAAGGACCCTGTTCCAGAATCCTGTAAAGCAACTTAATTTACGCTGTCAGAGTTCAAATTGGGTCTAGCAGCTAACCAGCTGGGTGACTCTGGATAAATTACTATGAGTCTCGGTTTTCCCATCAATAAAATGTGGCGAAGGGCTTTTGAACCTTTCCTTACTATCCAGTAACTCTGACCTAAGGTCAACACCTGGGCTGGTGGGTGACCTCGCGACGTTTCCGTGTCCAAGCAGTACGAGGCGGAGAGCAGCCCCAGGCGGACTGGTACCTCCCTTGGATCATTAGTCCCTACCGCGGCGGCCACCTTACCAAAGCACCATTCCAATACCTCGCGTCGCTCTGCAGCTGGATCCACGAGCCGACCCCTCACCTCCCGCTCCGGTACCGCTCGGAGGTGGGTCGCGGCTGGACTGGCGGGCCTTCGATGACATCATCACTGTTCGCCGTAGGGAGGGCAAGCGTCTTTTCCTTCCCGGACCTGGTGAGGTACGGAAAGCCGGAAGGGCCGGGCTCATAGCTCCGCCTCTGGCGCGACCGACGACCGGAGAGCAGAGCTGGGGTAGAGGCTCGCAGATGGACCTGGTAGTGAGCTGGAGAGCAGCATGGAGGCGTCCTGGGGGAGCTTCAACGCTGAGCAGGGCTGGTATGTCTCTGCCCAGCAGCCTGAAGAAGCGGAGGCCGAAGAGTTGAGTCCGTTGCTAAGCAACGTAAGTGGGCTCTGTTCGCTTCCAGCTACTGACGCCCTCCGGCTTCCCTTAAGTGCCTGCCAAATAAGACCCAGAAAAGAAGTAGGACCGTAGCGGGACAGGGGAGATGCTGGAGCCTGAACCCTGGGGAATGGGGTCTGAAGGCAGCCGCCGAGATTCAGATGAAATTGGTGCAGTTATGAATGTGATAGCAGCCTAGCATAAAAGATGAAAAGCCTCAGGTGGAAGAGATGCAGTGTTGAGTGGAAGCTGCGAACATGATGGGATGAACGTCCCTAGGATTATGTACTCACTGCTGTTAGTGTCTTTGTCACCTTCTTTACTCCACCAGTCTCGTGAGATCTTTGCAAGAGTCCCAGGATTTTCCTTTTGCTACTTAGTTATGGTGGAGTAATAAACATTTTAATACTGAAATTCTTAGCGTTAGAATGGAAGTGACTTGGTAGTAAGTCCATAGCACGTTCCTGACCCTAAAGCCTGTGCAGTGGGCACTTCGCTTTTTAACTCAAGTCCTAGACACTGTTCCCAGGACTTTGTTCCCAATGCTGTTTGTGGGGAAGGGGATGTTTTCAGGGATACCGCCAGAACAATGTGAATTGCTTCTTTTTCTAATATTGTCATTGCAGATATATCTGACCCTCCTTCCAGTTTGGTAGAACTGATTCATTAGGTATATAAGTAGAGATTAGTTGTGCAGTCCTGGTAATTGAGGAACAACTGTCCACAGCAGTCCCAGGTTGACTCAGCAATTCTTTAGTAATCACATGAGCTAAGGCCATATCCCTCCAATCCCTCCCCACCCCATTCCTATCCTATCTTCATCTCTTGCAGTCACAAGGTTAGTCATGCCCCTTCCTGAACCCTACCTGTCCTGGTGGAAATGATTTTCCTAAGAAACTCTAGATTCCTGGAGCTGCAGTAGTGGGAGGTGGGAAGGAAACTAGTGTTGGTTAAGCAACTAGTGTGTGTCTGTCATACAAAGCCTGATGGTTCGCAGCTTTTTTCCATAACCTTTCATTTATGGAATTTCTTCATGAAATTTGAACTTCACCATCCAGACATTTAATACTACTAAATTTGTGTGCCTACAGGAACTTCACAGACAGGGATCCCCAGGTGTTTCATTTGGTTTCTCAGTGTTTAATTTGATGAACGCCATCATGGGAAGTGGCATCCTTGGTTTAGCTTATGTTATGGCTAATACCGGTATCCTTGGCTTTAGGTGAGTCTTCATATTTTGCCATGACATTTTTTTTTTCCATTTTGATAATATACTGAGAAGTAGAGAGATCAGTTCCAGAAACTGCTATTATACAATTTCTAGTTAAGTAATTTCTCGGGTTATAGCATTTTTCTTGCTATTCTTGTTGCTAGTCTGTAGCTTGGAGGGATACTACATAGCTTCTTAAGATTTAAAACTGGGAATTTGGTCCACATTCATTTATAACCTTAAGAGGGGCATATTCATTGTGTCTGCTTGGCCAAAGTGAAGCAAAGCCATACAGATTAACTACTAAATAGCAATTTTGTGAGTGCAAATACAACACATAATTTTTTCATTCCTTTCTCTCTGTATTGTTAAGTAGTCTTATTTCACTTTCTGAGGCCAGGCCTGTGTTTTTTCCCTGTTCTTTTTTATTTTTCAGGACTTGGCTTGTAGACCAGTTTGCCCCAAATAGAAGACCATCCTGAATATTCTGTGCTCTCGTAGTACTTTGTATATTCATTCTGTTATTATAATTGTTATAATGATATGTTTGCAAATTAATCTTCCCACTAAACTGAAACCCTTTATAATTGGAGGTCAGGCAGGCAGATCCCTGGAGCCCAGGAGTTTGAGACCAAACTGGGCAAGATGGTGAAACCCTGTCTCTGCCAAAAATACAAAAATTAGCTCGGTGTGGTGGAATGTGCCTATAGTCCTAGCTACTTAGGAGGATTGCTTGAGCCAGAGAGGTCAAGGCTGCAGTGAGCCATGTTTGGGCCATTGCACTCCAGCCTAGGTAACAGAGCAAGATCCTGTCTAAAAAATTTTAAAAATAAAAAAGTCCTTTATAACCAGACCTCATCCTTAGCATCTAGCACCACCTGGCTAATAGAATGAATGAACAACAAGTTGGTTTTGTTTGTCAACAGAAGCAGACATACTTACTAGGAAATTTAAAGTGCATAGGGAGTCTCTTATAGTTTTATTTCCTGCTTTTCTTTTGAATTTTTTGTTAAGCAAAGCAACTTTTAAGTTACCCAACTTGCTTTTATTATGGAATGTATTCACAAACTTTCATTATTTTTAAAAATTAAAAACTATGTGTGACACTTTAAGCAAGACATAGTCAGAGGACTTATTTTCTGGTTCTCTTTAAAAAATCATATTTTATGCACGAGGGTCTTACATGCAGATATATACTGCTGAATGTGTGCTCATCCAGTAATATCAAGCCTCTTTTTTGATGATACTAAACTGTTATTTTGTGAAGTTTCTGATGTCGGTTTAATGGCATGTATACTTTACCTCTCAATTTTGTTACTTAGTAACAAGTATTAACTGGACCACAGAGAGAAAATTTCTTCAATGACGGGAAATTAATTGGGGATAGCTCTATAGAAGCTTGTCCCACCACTGTCTTCCTGAAAATAAATGGGAAGTTATCTGTGGGTTTTCTTTCACACTGTTGGTAAGAAGTTCTCAATCATTACATTGTTTGCACATTTTTCGAACTGTGTCATTAGAGGTGTGTTAACTACATTATTTTGGTTTGGTTTGGAGAGCATGTGTGTTTAATAGATGCTAGAAAATATAGTCTAAATAAATCTTAAATACACCTCAATAAGGTCAAGGTATCTAAGAGGTCCACATCACTGGAAATAGAGGGAAGAAGGGAAAAAGAGAAGACATTGATATTGCGTAAGTAAAACTTCTATTTAGACTTCAAATAGGAAGAAAACCAGTCATAAAAGGGAAATATTACAAGATTATTTAGTGCTATTTCAGCAGTCAGCAGACAAGAATGCAAAATGAGGAAGTTTGCTTGTATTTTAAATAAAGCTTGGTTTTTCTTTTTTGATGTTAAAATCAGAATATTTTTATTTAAATAAAATTTGATAAATACAAAAATGTGGAAAAGTATCTTCTTCCTTAATGCACATAATTCAGTTACTCAGAGATAGTTCCTTTGAATATTTGACTGTTAAGAAATTCATTTTTGTAATGAGATACCATAAAAAAGGCAAACTTTTGGGAGGATTTGACCAAGTGTTCTTTTATGTTTTAGCTTCTTGCTGATGACAGTTGCTCTTCTGACTTCTTACTCAGTCCATCTTCTGCTTAGTATGTGTATTCAGACAGGTGAGTAAAAATACTATGCTGCTTCATTTAATAAAGCAGTCCCTTGAGTTTGTATCTACATATAAGATTGGGTGTCTCAAATTGAATATCCAGTGAGCATACATTTTTATTAGGTAGGGTGTTTGGAATGGAGAATTTGAAAAACCAGGATATATAGACCCAATACTATGAGGGAATATCCAAGCACAGGATGGGAGGAGGTAACTAGCATTTTTGCTTGCTTTCCTCAACAACACATAACCTAATTTTCTGTAGTAGAGAAGATTGTGAGAGGATCTAAAAGATGTTCACAGGTTCCAAACCTTATGCTTATGGGGAAATCATTTTCTCTAGGAGAACACCTTCCCAGAGCTACTGCTGCCTTCCCTGCCCCCATCTGTCTCCTAGTCAGAGGTAGGGATGGCAGAATTAGCATTGTAGGAAGAAAGGTCACAAAGCTTCAGATTTATTTAGACATATTTTGGATTTTTAATTGCAAATTGAGGGTAGTTTTTCCTAAGAGAAATAAGTATGTGCAATTAATTCAATATATTTGTATATATATATTTTTCCATTTGGAATTTTATTATGCAATTCAGTTGCATATTGAATAAGTTCTTTTAGGATCCAAAAAATAAAAGTAAATGGATTATAGAATTGCTTTTATAAGGTTTTCCTTTTATCATTAACAAATATTCTATGTTCATCAGTCCTGGCCTTTTTATCTGTCTAGTCTCTTTTATCTTTGGATTAGGTCAGCTTTGATGCCAAAATCACGGGTTTAATTCTCATACGGGTGAGTTCATTTTGCCCTGTCCAGCCTTGTGATTTTTGGATTTTAAGAAGCAGAGTAAATACACAAAATAGATAAAAATGGATGCCTTAATTCATTTTGTATTTCTATAAAAGAATACCTGAGGCTGGCGTAATTTATAAATAAAAGAAGTTTATTTGGCTCATAGCTCTGCAAGCTCTGCAAGAGGCATAGTCCTTCTTATGAGGGGCTTCTCTGCTCCATCTGCATCTAGTAAGGAGCTCAGGCTGCTTTCGTTCATTGTGGAAGGTAAAGGGGAACCAGGGTGTGCAGAGATCACGTGGCAAGAGAGGAAGCAAGAGAGAGGAGGGGCGGGCCAGGGTCTTTTTAACCACCAGCACTTATGAAACTAATAAAAGTGAAAACTCATTCATTACCCTAAGGAAGGCACTGAGACTTTCATGAGGGATATGCCTCCAAGGCCCAAACATCTCAGCTTCAGCCCCACCTCCAACATTGGAGATCTGATTTCCACATGAGTTTGGAAGGGTCTGACAAACCAAACTGTAGCAGTGAGACTATTCTGTGCTGAAACGGGTGAGAGAAGCCCAGTGATATTTCTTGAGAATTTTAAGACTTCAGAATAATTCTGAAACCACTGTTCTAGTTTGTTTTCCTAAAACCTGTCTATCATCAGAAACACTCATAGATCTTTTTATTCACAGAGAGTTCTAAGCCTCAGCGATTCTAATTTCAGAAATCTGAGGTGAGACTTGAGAGTATGTTTTTAACAAGGCAAAACCAGTTTAGGATCCATAGTTTATAGCTGTAACTTTTACCAGTGCTTTGGCTATCCAGCGCCAAATATGTTTTTAACAAGTCCTCCAGGTGATTCTTACGCAATTCTGGTTTAGGATCCATGGTTTATAGCTGCAATTTCTAACAATGCTTTGGCCATCCAGTGCATGCCTTTGCTCTCAAGGAGCTTGGGTAAATGTGCAGACAGATAAAAATAATAGGAAACAGTGCAAATATCAATCCCAAAGTAACAAGTTGTTCCTAAAAGCATCCTGAATTCAGGAATAATAGCTTTAGATAAATATATTTGTAAATCCTGCTGAAACTTGAATTTTAATTACATGTATTGAAATTTCGCTTCATGTGAAAAAATTTTTACTTGATTGTGATAACTTTAACATCTTGGTAGAGTCTTTTAATTCATTCTATTAAAAGATTAATACTTTTGTCAACTATGTGGCAATTGTGTTTTTCAAGCTTCATTTTAAAACTTCATTTTAGTTTTAATTAAAGTAAAATGTTTTATTAATTTCAATTACGTAGGAGTAGTACTCAATGTGTGGAGATTTCTAAGTAATGTTAATTTTTTTACTCCTTCAGTTCACATGTATTTAACTTTAAGATTCTGACACCATGTTTGTTCTTTTCTATAATTCTGGGATGTATGATGTGAATATATATGTTTCTCTTTCTTCTCTCTTTTTCTTTGATTTCTGTAGCCTACTTGGGCCCATGAACTAACTACTTCATGGTCCTGCCTGCACTTTGACGCACCTGTCTTCTGTTGATTGAATTCCTTCAATCTGTAAAATTCTCTGTGGAGGTAGGCTTTTCTTTTTTTCAATACATACAATCATATATAAAGACTAGAGAATAATATGTAACTAACTTTCCCCCAGCAGTTTGTTGGACTATCATAAAGGAGTATTGTGCTCAGATTGAATTCATTGATAAGAGAAAGAGCTGTCATGAGTTTTTATGAAATAACTTCTTCATTTATTTGCTGAAGGTAAAGAATAAAGAGAAATTTTTATCTTTATAAAAGTAAAGGATATCTTCACATGGAATTCTACTTCAGATTTTATGGAGAGTTTGGGGTCTGTCAGGACTTTTCGTGGGATCTGAGGTGGCATATAAAGAAACTTATTCTCTCTAGTTTGTCATCTGTAAAATTGCAATGAGAACACTTCCCTCATGGAATTGTTCTGAGAATGAAGTAAAATAATGTATATAAAATGTCAAGTCCTTGGCAAATGACTGCTCACTGGGGCAGAAATCCCTAAAGATTGCAGGGTGTTGTACATACTACTATCTCAGAAATAGTTGGTTCATTGCCATTCTTTTGGAATACTTCTCATGCTCTGGTACTAAACCCACAGCTCCCCTCCACTGGCTTCCATGTCACTGTCAACTGGAGAGAATGAGAGTTCTAGAACTCTGCATATCTCTGTGGCCAAACCACAACTCCATAGTCCTTGATCCCTGCTACTCACTGCCTTGTTGCCAGTATTTGCCTTGAGACCATTTTGATTATGATATTATACCATTTATCTCAATTTGTGTTTGTCATTCCGAGTATATTAGGTTATCTTTCATTTCTCTGACTCATCTCATATAGCTGTCATCTGTTTTTGACATCATCTTCCACTGCTCTCTAACTCCTGAGACACTTTACTGTGCTCTCTGGAACTCACAGTCAGTCATCAGCAAAATCCATGTCTTTAATTCTTTTCTGAACATTTCTGTCTCTTTCTTACTCTAAGAGAACCACCTCTGAGGCTTCCGTGTAGTTCTCTCAAGAGGTCACTTCTTTCTCTTTATGTGTCCCAGGCTGATCTGAAGATGGTATAGGTGTCCCTTTTGTACCTCATTTCTGCTTCCTAACCATCTTCTACTCCCTGAATTCCAGAGCTTTGAATTTCATGAATACATACCATCTACAGCTCTCCTTACTATTGTCATCTATAGACTTCTAGACCATTTCCTGTCATTTCATGAAAGTTTTAGCTAAATTTTAGCTTCTACTTGCCTTTTAGTTTCTTCAGAATTACCCCGTCTTAATTCTGGATGATTTCAATATCCATGTAGCTAATCCTTCTAATGCTTTCAGTTCCTGAACCTCTTCTCTAATGATCATATTCTCTACCTACACTGGCCACTTATTTTTTTCCATCATCATAGCATTGATCTTGTCATTACCAAAATAGCATTTGCCAGTATCCACCCATCTGCCACCACCACCTCCTGTGTTTCTGACTCACTGTCTCAAGTACTTCAGTGCTGACAGTTTTCAATCCTACCAAGACTTCTTTGAGTTCATTGACCCTACCACCTTTGCACTGACCCCCATGCTCATTCTTATTTCCATTTTTATCCAGTTGAGGTTTTGTAGTATGTTATTTAATCCCTTGCCTGTCCATTGGACCATCATATTTCCCTGACAAAATTCAAACCATAGTTAAATATAACTCTGCCTACTTCACATTTGCACCCATGTATTTGAATGTTCCTGAAGAAAAGCACAATGATGGAGACTGATGCCACTATAATTCAATGTCTAGTGGACCTATGATGCTATCACACAATTCTGGTTCACTTCCTTAGTTCATCACTTCATTTAGCTCATTCTTCTGCTATCTAGAAGATTGCTTCTTTATATCTTCTTTTTGTCAAACCTTCAACACTTTTTTCTTTGACTTCATCTGTAACTTTCTGTTTCACTGAAAAAAATAGAAGCAATCATAAAAGAATTTTATAAGCCCTTGCCACCACATATTTATCTGTGCCCATATAATCTGTTACTGGGGATGAGCTCTTTGTGTTTATGTCTAAGGCCAACCCCTCCACTTGTGCTGTGATTTCACTTGCTCTTCCCTATATTACTCCAGCCACCTTCTCCCTTCTTTCTTATTTCTTTCCTTTTCTACCATTTCTTTCCTGTCACTTTACAAATAGTCCAATTTCTCTCATCTTAAAAATCTCTTTGACTCCACATCTTTTGAATATGCTGCCTGTCTTCATGGCAGTATTCCTTAATAAAATTGTCTAAACCAAGCCAGGTGTAGTGTCTCATGCCTGTAATCCTACCACTTTGGGGGGCAGACACGGGAGGATCACTTGAAGTCAGGCGTTTGAGACCAGCCTGGGCAACATGGCGAAACCCCATCTCTACAAAGAAAAGAACAAAAATTTGCATGTGGCGACATGAGCCTATGGTCCTAGCTACTTGGGAGGCTGAGGCAGGAGAATCACTTGAGCCAGGGAGGCAGAGGTTGCAGTGAGCGGAGATCACGCCATTGCACTTTAGCCTGGGGGACAAGAGTGAAACCCTGTCCCAAAAAAAAAAAGAATTGTCTAAACCAGATAATTTCTCTTTTCCCACTCCCATCAGGCTTTTCCACTGAAACTGCTGTACCAGTGACTTCCGCATTGCTAAATCCAGTGGTCAATTCTCAGCCTTCAACTTACT